CCGAAAAATCTCTCGTGGAGATAAAATGGAGGAACTACAATTGGTCATAGTTTCCTTTTCATTTCAATGTCCATCAAAATTGATTGAAAAGCTTTTTGCAACCGAACTTTGATTTCTGTCAATTCGATATCGAACGCCATTTGCGGCAGAGCTTAAGGCGTACAATCACTCCTCTCCCGAGAAAGAAATAGCAATGTAGATTTACCAACTAAACAATACGTAACAATGGTTGTGTAGTCGATATCCATTGAATGGGGATATCGATTTTTGCGGATGAATAATGACGAGAATCGTCTGCATATATAAAAGACATTTTGCGAACAGCCATGTTTCGAGGAGTGCTTGTTCATCTAACGAAGATGTAAAGTCAGTTTAGGGGAATGATAAATTCCAAGTTGTTATTTACGTATTACGAAAAATGTTACATAATTATGGATGAATTGGTATATATTATAAGCGTCCTTCAATATTCATGTGATCAGTGTGTGGGTCCTCGTATATATTTGTGTGTGTGTGTAGGCCTTTGTATCTTGTATTAGATAGTGGGGTTGGGGAGTTAAGGGGGAGTGGAAGTTTTAGGTATTTTATGTTAGATTGTTCCCATTCTGTCATTATTTGTCATATTATTCGAAACGTATGAGCTTGTTTTTTGTATTATCTATATAATGTAATTTTGTTTCTTATGAATTTGTTGAATGGAAGCACAATAAACAATAGTCAACAACAACAAAATCGCAGGGATTTGTTCAAATTATATTCCGAATGGTTGTATCACATTTACTTAGAGTAATGTCCCGTTTATTTGTCTGTGGTTTCGATGCAGTTTATGCCTTTCTGTGAACATACCTTTAATTTCCGAAAGGTATTATCTTAATTGCCAGTTCTGCTGTTCACAGCATTTTTGGTAGATTGCCAAATTGCTACACATCAACGATTATTGAAAGTGAAATATATTTATTTATTTCTGCATTTGACAAATATATGTGCGTTCGTACATTAACATGATTAAGGAACTAAAACAGATACAAAATTCATACAAGGACATGCCGAGAAAGTCAACATTTATTTTAATGTAATACTTCAACATGTAGTGTTAATTCCTGTGAGCAAAGCTTTAAATGATCATTTCAACCTTCTACACAATTTCGATAACGGCATAAATGATCTGCACTTCTAGCATGTTCATACACGTAGAATGTTTGCACATAGAATCCTGATGATCTCCTCTCACGGATTGTAATTGCAATTTCAAATCCTAGAATCAGTAGCTTAAACCGACGTAATGTTGGAGCACCTTGAGCATCACGCTAGCTGGATATGAGCTCTATACAAGATACCAATCAAATTATTTTTATCATTGACATGGGCCGTGGAACTGGAGGACTTGTTTTGATATGATTATATCTATTTTCTTCTGCTTTTCATATGAATGTAATCAACAGAGTGACAGAATCAAGATTCGGCGTGCATTTCAAATGAACAACATTACGTAACAATATTCAATAGTATGCAGTAATTTCTGACAATTAATCATAAATAAGCAAATATACATTACAATTTTTATAGTAAAAATATAAGAAAAATTGTCAAGTTGTCATATTTAATTAAACTTTATAAGATCGTTTGCGGAAGAAGGACTACCATTGTTCGCGAATTGCTTGAAAATACGACAGTCCAAAACAAATCTAATGATTAGATGAATATGACTGTTTATTGAGCAGAATCGACAAATAATTGAAAGCATATGTTTAATTAAATTATAGGATAAATATGATGCAGCCCCCCCCCCCCCACTTCTTTCAATACATACCAAATTTTGTGCATACGATAATTTGGTTGTAGGATTCTCTAGAATGCATAGTTTAAGTTTTCCAAAATTGGAAATCTTCATGCTCGGTCGCTTCGCTCCCTCTCTTTCGCACAATACAAAAACACGAAAATATCGCATTATCCGTCTTGTGATTCCTTATGTATGATCATGTGTGTGAGACGAGAGGGTCCGCGATTCAAATGGAATGAGGGGTGTCTCTAATTCGAGAAATAAAAGGTGAAAGAGGTTGTCTCCTCCCTCCGAAATTTAGAAGTCGTCAAATAAAATGTTTAAATTAACGACAGAAAGCTTCCTTATCCCACTGAGAAAACAATTCTTATTTCTTGTCCGATTTTATTCAAACTTTAACCAGTTTGCTTTTTTCTGATGTTTCTGCTTTCTTTTAGAGTTGTTTGCTCTGTCGACAAAGAGCGTTGGGAGAAAGCAAAATTCGACCTTCTCCCACTTAGTAGCTAGGTTCACTAGAATTTTGCGTTCCCCCAGTCTTGTCCTCCCCTCCCGAAAAAGGGAAGGCAATCATTGGCCTTGCTTGCAACAGAAGACCGTCGGATACCCTCGGAGCCACCCATCACTCCGGAAATTTCTTCCAGAACCGAGACAGAAGGGTCGAACAGTCATGTTCAGCCCCCGCACTTTCAAAACGCTCCTCGGTAGCTGATATATATCATATCAACTCCAGTGAATTGTGATGAAATTGTGAACATGCAAAAATAAATAACCAATGAATAAATGTAAGGGCAGGGACGTGATCTAAAAACGTAAACACGTATAATTTGTTGATGCAGTCACAAAATGAAGAACTGATCTTATTCCACAAGCCGCAAATATTGATATGTATTGTGGGTTCTCCAACATTTGAACAGGTTATATTTGCTCGTTGGTCTATGCCGTCAGAAATAATTAGGGCTAGGGTTTCGATTTGATGTGGTTAGATTTAAATATGCTGTTGGAAGTGAAAGACTTGTTTTATTTGCTGAGCAAACATTGCAGTAATTAACTTATTTCGACAGAAATAGTTAAATAACTTTGAAAATGATTTTACAATTTAACCACTGCTTTTGAGTGGATTTCACTAATTTGGATTTCTGGAGGTAATAAAATAAGTACCCTTGAAATAGCAAAAGAGTTATGATTTCTTGAAGTCTTTGCGACTGTAATTCATGTTACAATTCTTGGGATAATCATGATTTAAAAGTCAGTCCATCGATCCATTTTCGCGTTCTTTGCTTTCAATTTCCACTAAATCAAACACATTGTTTCGTTCTTCGTAAGACAAAGTCGTCTGTCAGCCGAATAGCGGAAATGTCCAAACTATCCTTTACAAAACTTCCTAAAGATCTTTACGGCGTTTAGCAAACCTTTCATACTTGAATCGTATACGGTTTGATATTCTAACTATTTTCCGAGTATGTGTGCTTTTAAAAAAAAGCACTCTGCAGCAGCGATATGAACTGATAATATTAAACTTTTGTCACTAACATTATTCCTGATACATTCCTTTATAAGCACTTGTATATAAATCTTTACCCAAAACGATGAAATGTCAATATAAGGATCGGACTGCATTAACGATAGATAAAACAATTCAGTTCACCAGTTACTTAAGATTTTGGAACCGTTTCAATAAAATGAATGTTCTAATCATTAAATTAACGACGTTGATGACGACGTTGATGGTGTTGCTGTTGTTGTTGTCGTTGGTGTTGTTGTTGATGATTATGACGATGATGATGATGCTACGATGAATGTGACGTTGATAATTATGATTATGATGATAATGAAACGATGAATATGACGTTGATGATGATAATGATGACGACGATGATGATGATACGATGACGATTATGATAATGATTATGATGATAGTGATGATGATTGGTCTCAACTATGGAACCCGTCACAAACTGAAATTAAAAATGCTTCACTCCTCCAAGTCTCTCGATATTTTCAAGTGTATGTATCAAAGTCATAATTCAAACTGTCTACGACAAAATAATCTCTCTCTCTCTCTCTCTCTCTCTCTCTCTCTCTCTCTCTCTCTCTATATATATATATATATATATATATATATATATATATATATATATATCTCTCTCTACTGAAATGGTAATAAATATGTATTTGAATCCTTCATTAGTTTCATAGTGTAGCCTAGTCTAAATGATATGATCAAATATAATTGTTATCGCCTAAACGAATAAAAACTTCTTTTTCGAAAAATCATCTGAACGCAATTTGAATAGCTTTTTCTATCACCTTTAGTTGTTTATGTTACACACACTTCGTATACTCTACGTCAGTTCATTGCGCAAATTACTTCCACCATTGTTACATGTATGTATCGCTTTGTGATTTTACTTGTATTTTAAATCCAAATTTGAATTCAACAAAATAATAGTAGATATGTGCGAACATGGGAAATTGAACATGATTTCTAAAAACGTGGCAAAAGGGTAGGCCCATTGAAATTATGGTATTGTTGGTTTCTCGAAAGTCTTTTTCATCAAAAGTAGAGGAGAAATTCAAAGAAATTCTGTTCCACCGTTGTATCATCAAAACCTTGTTATTCGAGAAAAAAAAAATGTTTTGGTATGTTGTGTTTTATCCAATAAAAAAAAAAGAATCCAGTATAAATTTGAGGAAAAGAAATGGGTTCCCATCTAACATAGATAGTTAGTGAATATTACGCCATTATGCTTTAAGCTGCCCAGCGGTGAAAAAAAAAATGTTTTGGTATGTTGTGTTTTATCCAATAAAAAAAAATCCAGTATAAATTTGAGGAAAAGAAATGGGTTCCCATCTAACATAGATAGTTAGTGAATATTACGCCATTATGCTTTAAGCTGCCCAGAGGAGGATACTGGGTGGAAGAGGCACGGGAAAAGGAATCTACATCTACAAAATCCTCATGCGGTTCATCCTCCCACCGGCATCTCAAGTCGGGCCATAGCTACCATGGACAGCTTCGTCAACGACTTCTTGTTGTACGGGGCGAGACGGGAAGCTTCGCCGGCGATTCGCTCGAAGATGTCGTTGACGAAGCTGTTCATGATACCTTTACAATTTTGTATTGATAAAGGACAATTAAATTGCCTTCGAGTTGATTTCTTGCATGCGATCGGATTAACTATTAAATATAAATTTACAAGTTTATGTTTGATTCACTTACCTGACTGCAGTGCATCATACACATCAAGACGAGAAATAACATCAAGTCTTGCTTGATTTGAGCCATGATGTCGGCAAGGCGTGATCAAAGGCGTCGGAGGTAGTCGCAACGTCGTCGATGAACCGAGCGAAGTGGGTTGAACACGTTTCCGATGAAGCGCTATGTAAAACAACGGTTTTGTCTCTCGCTCAATAGTCAAAAAATGCTTCTCAATTTGTCTATTTTTCCACTAACAGTGTGAATATGTTAAAAGCTCTTTTAATGAATCCGTGAGGTTTGCAACAAGGTTGACGGATCATATTAAAATCGGTAGGTAATCCGCGATGTTTTTGTCTACTGCACGCGGACGTCTCCTAATCCACTGCCAGCGCCACAAGTGTCCTTATAATCTGGGAACAAATCCCGCTCTGCCGTCGACGGATGCTTTTTACGGTAGAATGTCAATTCAGACTTGATTCGCGTTTTAATCCTTCGTTTCGTAATGGCGCAGTAATTGCTACAGACAAGCCAGAAATTGGAAGGTCGGGGTTCGTTTGGTTGGTAAAGCTTTCCAAATTAAAACGGCGGAGTGGGAGCGTTTAATTACATCCAAATAGGATTCAATATCAATGTTGCAAAGTGATTCTACTTGGCTTATACGACCACAAATGGATATGGCGGTTCAAGTCTTTATGATGATGCTGCTCTGCCGATCAGCAATGTTTGGCGCGAACTCTGCGCTTTAGATTGAACAAAGTCAAGATTATCTAATAAATGTATTATAATTCTCAGTTAACAGAAGCTTTTCACGTCGAGAGGCACTAGGTTTCTTTTACAAACCAACAAAAATACCACCACCATCAATATAAGTTTTTTCATTGGCGTATAACCAACACGAAGGTTTAATTCGAAAACGTGACGCGCACAGGTAAAATCTTCTTCTCGTGCAGACAACTGCTTAGACCAATAGTGAAGCGGCAAATGTCAGGTTTATCAAAAAGGCCATAGATACGGCGGAAATGAGGAGAGAACAATGACGATACAGAGTGAATTGTTTGAGAAAGCAATTAATAACCAAGCACCAATGAGTGCACGTGACTCTAGTTTGCCTGTGCCTGTTCATACCAGTTTTTTGTTGGTTCTAAATTTGATTAGCCTTGTTTGGTTAGGTTAAGCTGTTCATACTGTCTGAGAGACACACACCGCGTAGGTATAAAGCACCCCGCAATGTCACATTGTTTGAACAGCAAAACAATTAATGTTCTCAATTTGCTGTCCATGCGTTGTAACATCTTACGCCGCTTTCATGGGTATATTTCTCAAATTGTTTCTGAGCAGTAGCGTGCTTTTTCATTTCGTTGTACATACGGTATGAAGTTTAACATCGCGTTCAATGGCGCGTCAAAACATCTTAGATTGTATGGACAGCAATTGTTTTTTTCATTTGCTGTCCATACAAGCATTTCAGTTGCTAATTATTTTGATTACAAGTATTCTTGGTAATAACGATTAGCTGCCCATACAATGGGGTTCTCTTGCCAGGTTCATTAGCACACCACGATATTTCAAATCACATAGAAAACAAAATTCCATCTCAATTCGCTGTCCACACTTACACACTGCCTTTATAACCACACCAAGATATTTCAGTGACCCCATGGAAATAAAAATTTCATCTCAATTCGCTGTCCATACGGTATTAAAGACACACTGCCTTCATAACCACACCAAGATATTTCAGTGACCCCATGGAAATAAAAATTTCATCTCAATTCGCTGTCCATACGGTATTAAAGACACACTGCCTTCATAACCACACCAAGATATTTCAGTGACCCCATGGAAATAAAAATTTCATCTCAATTCGCTGTCCATACGGTATTAAAGACACACTGCCTTCATAACCACACCAAGATATTTCAGTGACCCCATGGAAATAAAAATTTCATCTCAATTCGCTGTCCATACGGTATTAAAGACACACTGCCTTCATAACCACACCAAGATATTTCAAATCACATAGAAAACAAAATTCCATCTCAATTCGCTGTCCATACGGTATTAATGTCACACTGCCTTCATTACCACACCAAGATATTTCAGTGACCACATGACCACATGGAAATCAAATTTTCATCTCAATTCGCTGTCCAAGTTTCACACTGCGTTCATTAGCATTATTTAGCACGTCGAAATACATGACATTGTATAGACTGCAAAATGTAATCTCAAATCCCTGTCCATACGGTTTGCAATTCCACGTCTCATTCATAGAACCCAAACATTTATTATTTTGTATCGACAGATAGCAAAATATCATCATTTAGGTTGTCCAAAATGTTGATTAATCTTACTCTGATTAATCACGGTTTGTTGTCCATACAATGTTGTTCTCTTTGCCTTTTGTCCCAAAAGTATCACACTTGACTGCCATTTTGTATACGACAAGCTTGAGTTTGCATATTAATTGAATACGATGTTAGCTTCTAGGAAGAACAAAGCCATCAAATTAATAGTATAGAGCAATCCAGCCGTATGTTTGTTACACATGTAAAAAAAAAATTTATTTGTTATGTTTATTTATATCTATATGTTATGTTTTTTACGGAAAATAAAACCAAACCAAACCAAACTGAGCTCAATTGAGTTCAATTCATTTGGATTTCGTTCTATCCTATATAATTGCATCTACTTTTGGAAGGTTATTATTACTGACGTATGTTCTAAGGCAGAGGGGATTAATGGATGGTATAATCTAATTTGGCGTATTCTTCACTATATATTCGGATACATCTTACTTAGATATGAATAAACTATCTAATATTTCAAAACACCTTAGCTTTATTCGCATCAACAAAATGTTTTCTATCTATCTATCTATCTAAGTATCTTCTCCCGGTTCGGAGGTTGATTGCAACATCTCTCTATTTCACTCTACCTTCTGCCATTCTGGTGCACTCTTGTAGTTTTAGTCCACTCCAGTTAAAGATTTTTCATCCGTTGATAAAAAAAAATACTTCTATTGATAACAACATTATCGTTTGAACACCATTTCTAATTGTTGTCATAATGATTGAATTTAGGAATTAGGTAAATTTAATGTTTTACTATATGTTATCAATATCAAGGTGCAGTTCCATATCTCTGTAATGTGTCTTTTGCTTGAGTTGTATATATAGCTTTTGACTTGTTAAGTGCATAGAAAGACTTCCCAGTTTATTATGCTCTTTATGGTATCATTATAATAATAACAATAATATATTACATTATTTTATAAAGCGCTTAATACAATGTTTCTTAGCGCATAACAAAAATACGAAGTAATGTTAACCTACAACAATATGATACATGATCAGAATTCTAATAACAATTTCCAACTAACAATTTTATAATGATAATAATAATAATTCATCTTTACATAGCGCTTTATAAATTAACCAACGAAATATAACTTTATTGCTCTTTCGGGACTGAAAGAGTTTCCATTTGAATACATCTCGTGTGCAAAACACGAGAAATCTCGTTAAATCTCCTTTAGATTCACTTAACAAAATTTTAACTTGCCTTTTGTTCTCCCACTTCATGCCAAATGACGGTTTTCTGAACAAATATTTTGTTGGAAACGTGATGTTGCCGCCCTTTCCCGCAAGATCTTCCGCAGATGTAGTCCGTTGCCTAGCAACGTAATGCTTGGCAATGTGTTCTTTATTATCGTCAGGTTTGAGGTTTAAATTAAGCAATTTCAATTTTGTCTCTCTGAATGCCAAGTGTGTTGCCTCAATTATATGAAGGATATTTGAAATGTTTTTTTTCTTTTTTTACTGTTTAACCGTCGTGATCCTGTTTCTCTCTGTTGTTGTTATCCCTCCACTTTTCGGAGATCAGCGAGTTTATCGCATTCGAAGCAGTTATTTTGTTTCTGTTTACACTCAAATGAACTTATTAGAAGGGTTGGAATGCCCTTAATTAGTAGAAGGCTGACTAGCAGAACGTATGAGATATTAATTCGCCACAAACTTATCGCGAAGTCTCAACCCATTTTTGTCTATTGTCTTAGTGTGTCGTTACCCTATAAATAGATTTTCGATAATGATAATTATAATAATTGATAGTACTGTCGATGGTGATGTTAATGATGACGATGATAATAATGATGATGATGATAATAATAATAAAGATAATAATGAGAAAGATAATACTGATGATTAAAAAAATAATGATAATGATATCAATGGAAAAAAGATCATAGCAACATTTATCTATACACCGATATAGAGTCAATTCAAGTTTAGTATTAACAAATATGCTATATTCCTACTTATCCAAGCCGATATGTTTGTGGTCAAATTCAGACTGTTTAACATAAATTATTCTGAATGAGGGGGTTCTTGCAAACCCCCATGCCCCCTTAATGATATTGAAAAATCACCACTGATGTCATATTCAAACAATTTTCTATTTTAAATACAATGTAGCTAAGGTTGGTGTATTAAATAATAGTAATAATAACACTTTAGTTCTTTAATAGCGCATTTCATGTCTGTTGACATTTCAATGTGCTTTACAATATATACATATATATATATATATATAATAAACAGAAGGATATATAGAAAAAATGAAGTTCTTACAGAGAGAAATATTATAACATTACTTATCCTTTATTGCTATTGATATGCTAATTTAAAAAGATGAGTTTTGAGTCAAGGTATGAATGTTACAGTTATTGTATTGGGTATACAACGTATAGGGTGTAAGGGAGAGAATTCCATAAAAAGTGCAATATAAGTGAGAGTGCTATCCTTATGATAATAATAAGCCAATATGTTTTATTCAGATAAAACTAAAGTAGATTCGTATCATCCTTGTCCACGCGAATATTGACATGGTTACAACCTTGACGAGAAATACAAGGGCATTGTAGAAACCTATTCACCAGCACGTTTCATACGATCAAGCAACTATACAATAATAAAACTCTCTATACGACCGTTGCGATTCAATCTTCATAAAAGGCCTATGCTGATCAGATAGTCGTTGCCATGGTAACCATGAAGCAACAGGCAAGATGGCGGTCTCTCATCATCAATATTACTCCAGTCGTCTTGTGGAGGAAAAGTGTTTCGAAATGGTAGTACGCGCTGTAAACGCAAGTCGCACAAGCAAGCTTGGCCGTTTTTTGATTGATTGCTTTTGTTCATACTCCATGCATTCACACAGCATAATACATTTAGCAAAAACATAATCATTTCTTGAAGTGATATGGAGGTAAATAATCCCGAATCGTAGTAATGAATGACAAGATAGATTATTTTATAAATCATTAAATACGGACATGAAAAGTGAACATCCTTAAAGGCTGGGCTTGGTGCGTGTAGGTTTACTGAAATAAACTTCTGACTTTATATACTTTTTAGACTAGAATGAGACCAAAACAATGTCAATGGAAAAAACACAAATGTTACAGCTAAAATGTGGAACAGAAAGAGAGAGAGGGGGAGAGAGGGGGGATAGATAGAGAGTGGGGAAAGAGATAGATAGATAGATGAATATATAGTTAACAAGATAGATAGATGAGAGAGAGAGAGAGAAAAAGAGAGAGAGAGAGAGAGAAAAGATATGGAAATATAGATGAATAGATAGATGAGAGAGAGAGAGATAGAGAGATGAAGCAAGAAGCAAAGCGAGGAAGAAAGATAAAAGTATATAATATAAAATGGAACTGGTAAACATGCAAGACGTTCGGGGTAATAGAATTTTTCGTTCGGTCTCTCGTTCGTTTCCAGGCGGTCTCGTTAGAGGGACTGGGATCCTAGGGGTTAACTCGTAAGCGTATGTATGTATGTGTAACGGACGCTTCTTATTTGGCTACTCTAGATCTGTGAACGATGTACATCCGCTGTATTTACAAGGTGTTCTGGCGTGGAAGT